TATGGCTGCTATCCCACCAATGATGGTAGAATTTATCATGACCACATGACAAATCAAGTTTCAAGGCAGTTAGGGGTCTGAAATCAGAGGTAGAAGTAACTGTAAAGACGCGAAACACTATAAGCTGCAGGATTTGGGAGGAAGAACAAGTACCAACAGACTGGTAGTTGACTGGATTATGAAAACCCGGACACCTCAGAGAAAGCACGGAAAACAGTGGTTAGATTGGATGTAGCTAGAAGATTTGGATTTCGCAGATAATCTAGCTCTTCTATCCTATACATAGCAACCAATGCAGGTGAAGATGGTCAATGTAGCAGCGGTTTCTTCAGTAGTAGGCCTCATCATGCACGAGGGAAAAAAGATCTTGAAAAACAATGCTGTGAATACCAGCCAAAGCACACTAGATAGAGAAGCTCTGAAAGTGATTAAAACTTCTACGTATCAATACCATCACTCAAAACATTCAGAAGATACTGCTCAGCCGTCGGCTAGACACCATCAGCCATAATCTGTTATGGCTGAGAATAAACCAGATTGCAGATGAGGAAAAAATTAGGAAGAAGCTCTGGAGCTGGATTGGAAATATTTTGCGGAAATCACGGAACTACGTCACGAGGCAAGCCCCAACCTTGGATTCTCAGAGCTGAAGCGAACGGGGGCAGACCTAAGAACATACTGCGCCTAGAATCAGAGGCAGACATGAAAGTAATGAGTATCTGTTGGAAAAACTGAAATGAAGAGCATAGGATACAGTTGGTTTGAGAATCCTGATTGGCAGCTTATGCTTTACGAGGAGTAACAGGCAGATGTGAATCAGAGAATCGGAACAGTGATGGAATATTACAAACGGTAATTAAATTTAACTAAGTAATTCTTGAAAAATAGTTTTATATAAACGACATTAATTGAAAAATCACTAATTTATTTTGGGTATTCATTTTTGGCTTTCCAAGGCACATGATTTGGAAAATACTTTATACTTAGGTTTAGAATATGATTTATCTTAGAATATCAGCTACAAAATTTGACTTTCAACTATCTGATTGTCACATATGGCTGTAAATTCGTTTAGAAGACGAATGTGGAGAGGAAATCATAGAGCAGTAGTTAGTTTACTGACCATCGACCTACAAAAACCGTTACCTTTTAACTGATTTTATCTGTATTACGTCATCAGTTCATTCGTCTGAAATAGTTATTTGCTTATCAAACAATGATTAGTACACCACTGTTTTCACATAGTATAGTTAAACACTTTCGGTGTAATGAATACTTTTTAAAAGATGATTTCCATTTGAATTAAAGTAGACCTAATGAAAATTGAAAACTTGGTGATGCATGGAAGCTGTATTGTTATGATTTGGAACTAATCAGTGAGAAGTCGTGACCAGTGAAGTTCAACCCTGTTTGAGTGCGAAGTGGTGCTCACAGAAGACAGTTGATGAGGTTGCGCAAGACTGTGAAATGATCGAAGTTATTGATTAACACCTTTTTATGCTGGCTCAGTGGTCCAGAGGTTAGGCGCTCTCGCGCAAGACCGTAGGTCCTTGGTTGTGGATGCATAATGCTAGTGAATCCTATACCATGGTGAAACGACCGTCTTTCAGTGCTTCCAGGTCTTGAATCGCGGTCGGATGATGATTTAAAAAAAGTAAGTCGGCAATTTCCACAACCCCATAATGTTAATCAATAATAGCCAGTTTGGTCTTGGTGTAGACATTAATGGTGATTAGAAGAAAACCTTGAACCTAAGTTATGATCTGACACTAAATATTAGGCATTAATTCAATATTCCAGTACTACTACGTTAGAAAAATTTTCAATTTAACAGAGGTATCAGTTTCGTCTAAGTTTTACTATGGGAAAGAACAAACCAGATTTCAGTGGTGGAAGTGGATAAGACACTAACTGAAGAAAGCACATAACTGCATCACAACACAAGCCGTCAATTGGAACTCTCAAAGTCAAAGAGAAAGACTAAGGCAAACGAACATATTACGCCGAGAAATGAGGACAGACAAGAGAACAATGCCTAAAAATTCGACAGAATTGGAAAAGAAGATTGAGGACAAAGTAGGTTGGAGAAAATTGGTCGGTAGTCTATGCTCCATTGAGAGTAACAGGTATAAGTAAAGTAAAGTAAGTTGTACCTATGCTAACACCACTATCAGCCAGTACAAAATTAAAATCGAGGGCTTCTATAAGATTCCATTCAACTATCTAAAAGTATCCACTAATGCACAGACATAATATTCAAATTGAGTCGCTCTTCTGATGATGATATTAAATAAAAATTCTAATGGGTGAAAATTTTTAACTTCATTTAATGTTGGCTGTCACAATAAGGCAAAGCAAGGGCTGCATTTCTACAGTTGAAAAATATCTGGAACTCCAAACAATTGTCAAACAAAATCAAAATCAGGATTTTCAATACAAATGTCAAGACAGTTCTACTGTATGGAGCGGAAACTTGGAGAACTACGAAATCCGTCATCCAGAAAATACAAGTGTTTATGAACAGTTGTCTACGCAAGATATTTCGGATTCGTTGATCAGACAAGATCAGCAACAACTTACTGTGGGAGAGAACAAACACGATTCCAGTGGAGGAGGAAATCAGGAAGAAGCGTGGAAGTGGATAGGACACACACTACGAAAAGCACCGAACTGCATCACAAGACAAGCCCTCACATGAAACCCTCAAGGCAAAAGGAAAAAAGGTCGGCCAAGGAACACATTACGCCGAGAAATAGAGAAAGATATGAGAGGAATGAACAAACATTGGACAGCACTGGAGAGGAAATCCCAGGACAGAGTTGGTAGGAGAAAACTGGTGTGCGGCTTATGCTCCATTGTGGGGTAACAGGCGTAAGTAAGTAAGTAAGTAAGTAATCACAATAAAACATAAAAAATTTTTATTGTCATACAATTTAATTGTTCATTACCAGTTTGTTTTTATAAACTATACTATAATAAAATGTATTTCAAATTGTACTGCATAAATTTATGATCATCTTACAACAATTTAATAGAATACTAGTCATTTAGCTAACATATTATTGACTAATTACTATGGTTTTATATACAGAAGATAGATAGAGACCACATTACTTACTACTAACCTGTCATAAAGATCATTTTCCTTTTTTGGCAATAATCATTTTGGAAAATAAATATAAACGCCCAAAAAATTATCTGACTCATTTAAGAAGTAATTAATTAGATGTTAGGAGTGGGGGATAAAAAAGTAACGATGTCATTCAATTTTGGAAAACTTTTATTACACTTAGTTTGCTCTTTTTTGAATACAGTACACGTTTTAACAACAACAACAACAAAAACATTGAACATTTATTGTTCAATTGTCAACTGAACATCAATACTAATTAAAACAAATTGGATTTTTAATAACATAAATATCATCAACTTTGAAGATATTTGAAGTAAAAGTATTTCATGCGAAATTAGATGATGTATTCAACTTATTTTTTGAAACCAAGAATCGATCAATGTTAGATCACTATTAGAAACCTGGAAGCACTGGACGGCAGTTTCGTCCTGGTATGGGACTACTCAGCAGTACGCATCCAGCATCTCGCAGGGTTCGAACCCAGGACCTTCGGTATTATGCGCGAACGCCCTAACCGTTAGACCACTGAGCCGGTATCCAACGGTGTTAATGGCTAACATTGATCGATTCATGATTTCAAGAATGTGTAACTTAACAATCTTCACAACCCCGTATTCAACTTAGACAGAAATTGTAAATTTCTTGTGACTATTGATTGAAAGTAAATTTGAACATTGAAAAAACGTTGCCAAAAACTAAACAAAACTAATCATTTATGTTTGTTTCTATAAAGATTTTGTGTTAATTTTTTGGATATTTTTGGTGTAGATTGATTTTTATAGCTTTGAGATGACAAATATGTGGTTACTTAGAAATGAAATTTAAAAAGAAGATAGCGTTGAACAAGTGTTTTGTTTTAATCCGATAATTCAGAACAGCGTTCATTTAAAATAATGAAGTTTTGAATTAAATCCCGATGTATTGATCAGAAGATATGATAAGCTCTACTAGGTAAAGACAGTCTAAATTTGATTTCAAGTTTAATTTTCAGTGTATATTAGTGAGTCACATAAAAGACATTTAGTATGATCACAAAATGATCTCATTTTATGATAAAAATTATCTGTAATATTCCAGAACAAACCGAACGATATATCCATGAACAGTATGTACAAGTATAATTCTTTGGCATTTCATTTATCGATTAAAATTTTTGGATACCTTAAACGGTTAATTTAGTATCGAAGCAATCCTCCTCAAAGGATGCATGTGTACCAAACTGAATCAGATCAACATTCAGTCGTTCATTAACATATGAAGTTTCATTTATACAAGTTTTCAATGCATAATATGTTGTGTTGTTAGTTTCTCAACGCCAAAAATTATGTTTTATAGCCGAAACGCTATAGGTAGGAAAAAATGGATTAATGAATTGAAGACGTATTCACTATTAATTTACCAATAATGTATTAATTTAACTCCGCCTGGAGTACTTTTGAGGCCACTGGATAAAGGAGGAAGGTTGAGCATAGGGTTAGCGATTTCATCACGTAGAATACTAACTCGCCAAAAAAACGCTTACCAGTAATGTAGTAATTTACTTTTTAACTTTATTACTCTAACGACACTTTTGCTCAGACCAGTGACGAAAGATGGTAGCTCTGTAAGCGTGTTACAACAATACATCCTATCATATACAGCTGAATATATGAAACACAATTCAGAATTGTAATCTACTTATACCTTAAGTATGAAGCCATCTACATATCACTAAACACTACATATACGCTCTCAATAAATGTGTATTCTTCAACGAATTACCAGATGACACAAAGTGACAACATGAAACGATTTCTAATTGAATTAAAGCTTAATCATTAAGGCCAAAATGTAAGACAAAAAGATGTCATATAGATGGATCACTTACCAATTAGAAATAAATGTTGTTGTGAATATTTGACAAAAACTTGAATAAAAACGTATCATCCATAGAAAATATAATAAATATATTGGTAAAAAACCATATTGAATCCAACCAATTTGTCGAAAATCCAAACATCCAGTTGATTTTAAACGAATTGGTTCAACTAGGAAGTGGAAACAAAAGAAGAGGAACAAGTAAATATGATAAGAATATGTATGTTTAGGCAAAACTGTGAAATGTTTTTTTAAGTCGCTGCGTTGAATTCGAAATATGATTCACCATTTTAGTGACCAGTTAACTGACTCCTTTTTGTACGGGCAGTCGAGTATGCGACGAAATAAATCTTCCCCTCCATTTCCGTATATCATACTTAGGCGAACCCTGTTTATGCGACGGCGGTAATAAGAAGCCGATTACAGATTCATTTGGATGAATTCACTTCATGCATTCATTTAGGCAGACAGACATAAGAAAGTATCGCGAGCGAGCAAAGGGAAGCGAATTGGAGAAGGGGAGTGAGTCAACCGAATGCATTGAGGTCTGACCAATTATTTATAGTTAAGCCAGATATGCAATAACCAAAGTACGTATCCACATATGCACTCAAGTAGGAACAACCAAGATCATAAGCTAATAACTGATATGATCAAAATAAGTCTGAGTAACTTCAGGGTTCGCCCTGAGAGCTTGACAAATTAGTACACACCACAAATGATATTGACAGAAATAATACACTGTAATTTTCAGCACTAATTCAGCATCTATAATTGAAGATTTGTATTTCGATGCGCTTAGAACTTGTTAACATACAATTTGCTTCTAGAAGGTTGACAAAACTATTCCAGTAGACGTTCACTTTAAGAGTTAAAATGTTATTTTATTACTTACGGGATTATATTAGTCTGATAGTTATTGATCTTGATTCAAATTTCCATATTTATAATAATAAGATACAACTTGTATTTTAGTTATTAACAATCGTCGGGTTATCACTGGTTAACAAGATATACAAGAAATAATTTAGATGTGTCAATGGGTCATGTGTTAAGGTTATAGTCCTTCAGCTACGTTTGAGCTGATTTCTACGTTTAATTTGTCTCAGGTTCTTTTGAGTGACTTATTTAACTTTTAATTGTCACGTTTGTATGGATTCGTCTGCTTGAGCGTTGATGTTAGTGGCTTAAACAATTCAGTGACTCATTCGTTATCCAACTCATTCGCTCGCTAGCTCGCTCCTTGGCATTCCATTTCATTTTGCTTACGCTTCATTTGCCGGTGGTTTTGTGACCGATGTGTTGTGAGATAATAAACGTCATCAACACTTTGTACTCATCTTTTGATTTGCATACATCATTGGATGTTATATAGTAACAGTTGTCCAGACGAGCAGTAGACTATGTTTACGGATTAAATCGAAATCCAACCGCCACAAGTTGTTTCAAGTATGGTATGTTTAATTGTAGTTGCAACAGTCAAATCAGTCTCTTAATGTCAGTCACTCAGACAACAACAATAAAGAATTTCGTATATAAGTACATCAGTTTAAGTTGCCAAACCACATTATCACAAAGATGCAATTGTCATTTCAGATTCCATAGAAGTAAAGGTAGAAGATGTATTAGCAGTAATCGTAAAGATTAGGGTTCCAACATACTATTCAAGAGGAAGAATCTAGTGAAATAAACGTGAAAAGAAAAAGATATAGTGATGTGGAACTCTGAAAGTTAGGACTTGAAAGAACACAAAGAATAAATGCACCTGAGCCAGTGCAAACGGCTTTGAGTGTAATAATTCCTTCTGCATACGTAAGCCGATCGGTTGGTCAATCAGTCAGTTACAACGCAGAACTTCGTGAATAAGTACATCAGTTTAAGTTGCCAAACCACATTATCACAAAGATGCAATTGTCATTTCAAATCCAATAGTAGTAGAGGAATTCAAAAGGTTGAGATGTGAGAGAACATGAAGAGTTAACGCACCTGCAAACGGTTCTGAGTAACGTCATTCAGGGTCTCTAACTATCGATTACTATCATGTCACGGACCCCAACCCGGTATTTGACACCTAACAACATGGCTTATTCGAGTTGTCAGTGGCTTCATGGATTTCTGCCGTGTTTTGGTTTGGCCATCCATAGCTTTCGTCCAACCTATTCCCACATCGCAAAGCATGGCTTGACAAGACAGTCGGTGGTTAGGCATACGCAACACATGTCCCAACCACCTCAACTGATGAAGTTTCATTACTTCATCTATTGATCCACCACTCTTACCTAAGACCCGTTTCCTAACGACAGCATTTCTTACTCGGTTGTCCCATGATACACGAGCAATGCTTCGGAGACACCTATAATCGTAAACCAGCAACCTACGAATATCTTCTACTCTTATTGGCCATGTTTCGCACCCATAAAGCAGGAGAGAGCGAACTGATGCGCAGTACACTCGTCCTTTGATTAGCAAACGGATATCTCATCTAGGCCTTAAGTGATGCAAGTCAGCGAAAGCCAATCGAGCCTTCTGTCTCCATGCTAAGATTTCGTCAGTCACCAGGCCATCTGCACTGATGAGACTCCCAAGATAAGTAAAGTGGTCAACATACTCAACTGCTTCACTCTCTGATCTCTTAATGTAGATAGAAAAAGTTGACAGCTTCCAAAAAAAACACAAACAGTAAGACTGAAAAATGGGTGATAAAAACCTTATTTATTCAATAAGTTATATCTTACTTGTTGGATTCATCGATCGATCATTGTTAGACAGCTATTAGGAACCTGGAACCAATGGACGGCCATTTTGTCCTGGTATGGGATTAATTATCAGTGCGCATTCACAACTTCCGCACCTCACAGGATTCAAACCCAAGACCTTCAGTCTTGCGCGCGAATGCCTAACCTCTGAACGTGCATGAGCACTGCTGATAAGTCCCATACCAAGACGAAACGGCCGTCCATTGGTTATAGCTTCTCATGGTGGTCTAACAATGATAGATTGATGATTTCAACATGTCTTATTTTCCAAAATTCTACTTATGATTGGTCAATTATGTAAAATTTGAATTGTTTAGAATGAACTTTTCAAAGCAAAAGGAATATCAACAGAACAGATGTAACGTAAATTACAATTTTAAAATTCATTATCGTTTATTTCTAATTTCCTATCTAATAAACTGTCAGCATATGTTTTTAGTTAGTTTAAAGTAAATCCCCTATGACAGTTATCAATCAATAGGTTGGAATCCATTTCCTCCACATTGTCAAATCATCGTTACATTGAAAATAAAACGTCAAACATTTCTACTTGTGTAACACTGACAAGTCAGTAGTGAATAACCAACCATAGAGAATGAAAAAAAAGGAAAACTGGCGGACGTCCATGGATTGCGATAATCCAAATGATAATTATTGATTGATAACTAACTGTTCAGTAGACATTTGAGTAGTGCGTTAAAATCAATCATAGTGGTATAATATTAATAATAATAATAATAATAATAATAATAATGATAATTATGTCTCAGATTATAACAATGATTGACACTTGATTAGAAGTATCATCCTGCTTGGATGAGTGTAGATAAATCTTGCGCTTTGAATAGTAGTTACTTAACTTAAAACAAAACTTATAGGCGTGGCTTCCTGTATCCAAATATATATATATATATATATATATTCATTTATATTCTTTGAGAATAAGGAGGAAGTCTGACGTATGTGAGAAAATTTTGAATTGTGTAGTGGCTTCAATAGTTTATATAAACATTGCATTAACGGCATGATTTCTTTTGCAAAAATTTATTTCAGACGTAATGATGTCATTAGTTTTAGTACTTAAATCAGTAACTTTGGATAATAATCTTGGAAAAGTTACTGACTTACTTACTTACTTGCTTACTTAGTTACGCCTGTTACCCCCAACGGAGCATAGGCCGCCCACCAATTTTTCTCCAACCAACTCTGTCTTGGGTTTCCCTTTCCTCTTCTGTCCTCTTCTGTTCGGTCATTCTTCTCATATCTTTCTCTATTTCTCGGCGTAATGTGTTCCTTGGCATTCCTCTTTTCCTTTGACCTTGGGGGTTCCATGTGAGGGCTTGTCTTGTGACGCAGTTAAGTGCTTTTCGCAGTGTGTGTCCTATCCACTTCCATCGCTTCTTCCTGAATTTCCCCCTTCCCTGGAATCTGGTTTGTTCTCTCCAACAGTACGTTGTTGCTGATGGTGTCTGGGCAACGAATCCGAAGTATTTTGCATAGACAACTGTTCATAAATACTTGTATCTTGTGGATGATGGCTTTGGTAGTTCTCCAAGTTTCCGTTCCATACAGTAGAACTGTCTTGACGATTATATTGAAAATCCTGATTTTGGTTTTGGTTGAAATTTGTTCGGAGTTGCAGATATTTTTCAGCTGTAGAAATGCAGCTCTTGCTTTGCCAATCCGCATCCTCACATCTGCATCGGATCCATTTTGGTTGTCGATGATGCTTCCCAGATATATAAAGGTGTTAACGTCGTCCAAAGAATCTCCATCAAGAGTGATTTGGTTGGTGCATGTTGTGCTGTATCGGAGAATTTCGCTTTTTCCTTTACGTATGTTGAGACCTGTTGTTGCAGAGACTGCTGCCACACTGGTCGTCTTCTCCTGCATTTGTTGTTGCGTGTGCGATAGAAGAGCCAGGTCATCTGTTAAGTCCAGATCTTCCAGGTACATCCTAGCTGTCCACTGAATACCGTGCTTTCCTTCAGATGTTGACGTTTTCATAATCCAGTCGATCACCAGGAGGAAGAGAAAGTTACTGAACTAAACATTTAAACATGAAGGAATTTCAACTTCATGTTGAAAAATAACTTGTATCGCAATTCAGATTAGATAATTATCGATCTCTCAAAAATCAATCCAAGTTGACACGAGTTATGAGTGATGAATATGTCACTAACTACTTATAACTAAACACTGAAACAACTACGACACTGGTTAGTACTAACTGATCATTCAATCCCACAAGAATTCAATCATACTGAGTTGCTTGTAAATCAGATACTGGCGAATGTGAGGTACACCAGTTGTCTTTGACGAATACCAACGTGTACGAAATTTGTGTCAAATACATTCAAAATTTAAGTAAAACTCTGCCTGAAGCATCTCTGTGGCTACTTCTGGTCTCAAGCCCGGATAAAGGAGAAGCGTTGGGCGCGGGGTTAGCAATCCTTATCCTATAGAAAATAAACTCGCTAAATAAGAAACATTAACCAGAAAAATAAGACAACAAAACAAATCAAATTAAACTAAACTATAAAACTTACCCATAGCTAATATATGCAATATACTATATACAAATATAAAGCATAATAATCCATTTCCAATTAAAATAATCATTAATATTAATAATACAAATCCATATAATTCATTTAAACAATCTGACACCAGTACAAATAATGCTTCAATAATAAATTGTGTTGTATTTCTCCATTGACTTGTTGAATATTGTTTCAATGATGAATTTAAACAAATTACATAAATCTAATATGAATAATAAATAAAGTAGGAATTTTTTTTTAAAATAAACAAAATTAAAAAACATTAAAAAATGTATAATAACAAACAATAAATACAATCATATATTACTACAAATTTCAATGAGATTAGTACATTTGTCAATTGTGAAATCTTTCGGTTGGAACTAGGGAACTTGTTTTGTTTTTTTTTGTCTATTCAAAATTGTTCATTCATACTAATTGTCGTCAGTTAGAGAGAATAGTTTAAAGATTAACAATCATGTCTTTTTAAATATTTAAAATACATTGATTAGTAATGATTAGTTGAGTGATTTTCTAATACGAGAAATCTATGATTTTGAAATGGTAGTAGAGATAAAAAGAGACGGCTGACAATATATACGTTCATATGAACATCCATTTGCAGATAAACTTCACAGTATTACCTGTAGAAAATAATAGATATGGTTGTAATAGTGAAAGTGGCAGATTCTCTTGTGTTGTTAGGAATATGCGGGGGAATGTCACTTTCTGGCTGCCTACCCCATGGAAGGGCATTTCTTGACGGCGCTGAAAAAGGAGCATAACCATAAAACCAGAGAGATAACTGCTTGAGGCTGGTCGGACATAGCATTTTTATGATAAGGTTTTAAAGTGTTAGCTCCGCTTTTCAAAAGGCCTAACCCACGGACGTTCGTGAGGTAAGGTGAGGTGTGACATTTTTTGGGGTTGATCTTTTCTAACTCCTTTCTTCCGTTGTGAGAAGGCCGCATCACTGCCGCTGCTGGTTGTCCGAAGGAAATGCCTTCTCTACAGTCAGCAGTACGACTTTTACTCTCACACCTTGAGTTGTTGCTTTTAGTTTTACCATTCTCTAATCAACCTGCCTGGCATTTTAGAACATACAGGAACATGTGTTCCGGTAAATATAACTTGTTTGGGTTATCACGATTGGCAGGGACGACTAACAAGTCAGGGTAGCGGCTACGGTCGGGATAGCTTTAGCAAATTTAGTTCTAAATAAGCTCTGAATTATAAAATATTTCAGAAAAAATTGATAATAAATTTGCATTCATCAAACTATACAAGTCAAAAATGCCGAGGTGATTCACTGTGTATTCTGGAATAGATGATCCATTTTGTTACTCACTACATATTCAACCAATTTTCTCTGATCAAAAATTACAATGTAGAAGTCAAAATTTTCAAAACCATTAGGTCATCGATATATACGTGAATAATTCCATGTGAACTATATAAAGGCCGTGTAAGCAATGTTGTAGTTAGGAAATGAGTTCTAGGTAAGGATGGCAGGTCAATAGATGAAGTGGTGAAACCTCACCAGTTTAGGTGGTCCGGATATGTATTAAGTGTTCCCAACCACTGACTGCCGCGATGAGAATGTTTTGTGGTGTAAGAGTAGGCTGAAACGAAGCTAGCGGCGGCCAAATCAAAACATGGCAGAAATGCATGAAGCCACTGACAAGTGGACTGAGTCTTGTTGGCAGATGTAGACTTTCTGGTAAGGGTCAGCGAAACGAAAGTCACCAATGGTTAGAAACCTTCAATGACATGGCTCAAAATCGTTTGCAATGGCACAGGTGCGGTCATTCATTGTGTTCTCTCTAAATCTAACCTCCTGAATTCCTGATCATCTCTATCTTTCTCTCTTTCTAAATTTATATCACTGAATTATACTTCTCGAATCATATCTTTGAGTCCTAATCTTCTCCATTACTGCTAATACTTCTAATATCGCTACCACTATGGAGTTCCATCTGATGGTTGCGTCTACGTGTTGATGCGGTATGGCAACCTGAACTTATGTACTGATGTACGAAGTTCTAACCATGTCAATCAATCATCCTGTGACTGTTAGACTGATGGTACTGTCATGTACAAGAAATGTCTCCAGAGCTATCCGTCATTTCTGCATAAGTTTCACTTCCGATTCACTAAGCATGAGTTTTTCTTAATTTACAGTTGTAATTTTTGTGTGAGAATTAGTGACATCGTTTAACTCTTAAAAAAACTGATGTAAATTGCAAAGTTTTGGAATAAATGAGACATGCTTTGAAGGTTAAATTCTTCTTTACCTACGAGGCTACCATTTCATTCATCTTATACGATCAAAAACACAGTCATACACGGAAACATATTTATTATAAAAGGGGAAAAACTAACTTCACTTCATCTCATTAAGTAGCTTATTCTAAGTAAATGCCTTAAAATGCCAATTCAGTCATTGTCAATGTAATTGATGGTTACTTTGGTTACAAATTAAAATGTAACCAACCAGTTTTCAAGAATCGCTTTTTTTAATAGAAAAAAAAGTACTTTTGGCAACAATTAGTCATTCAAGTAAAAGAATGAAGTTAAAAGTTTGCTTTTGAAAAAAAAGATACATTTTATGCCTTAGAAACAATTTTAATGAAATAAATTTCATTACATAAGACTTGAAAACTAAACTGCTCAACTGTTTGATGTAGATTATATAAAAGTGTGAAATGCTTATGTATTTACTGACGCCTGTTACCTCTAATGGAGCATAGGCTCCCGACTAGTAAATAGTGCGTTTTTTAGCGAGTTGGATTCGTAAGGGATAGGATTGCTAACTCCGCGACCAGCCCTTCCCCTTTATTCGGCCTTTGGATTGGCAGTAACTCCAGAAAAAAACTACAGGCGACGTCTAGTCATTCAATGAGTATTTTTATATTCTTACTAATAGGTGATGAAGTTATTAAGAAATTGACCTAAATATTTGTCAACGATTTATCAGTGGTAATTTCATGTAGTTAACAATTCCTAATCATATTATAAAAATGCATGGAATCGTTGATCTTCGTTATTTTCTGAATCGGAAATAGGTATGAAAAAGTCGTTCAATCAAATTGATATGCTCGAAACGATAATGAGTTCACCTTACTCGGTGAACGAGAGCGAAGTCAAATGATGCAGTGTTACGATAGGCTATTCTAATCTGTTTGTCCCCAGTCCGGCTGACTATATCAAGAGGTCTTGATAAGTCTTAGAGAATGTATTCTATAGACAACCAGAAAATATGAGGTTGACAGGCATACAACTCAAGCTTGTTTATACAATGATAGAAACACTCTTGATGAGAGCCACAAAAATAGCGTACTAAAATATTACATCAACCAATGACAGTCAAGGATTCCCGAATGGGGAATCTAAGCTGAAGGTCAGTTGAGAAGTTGATGCTCGAAAACACAAAAAATCCAAAATTAGGACCTTTTCCGAATGTGTCCTGGGGATCTAACGTCCCCAACACAACTATATATTAGTTCAAGATCAAATGAAGAGTAAGAGATGGTGACGAATGTAATCTATACATCACTGTTCGGTTATATTATCCGTGGGAAGATGACACACACTATTGGTTGACTTGATTTTCTGAGATATCTATCTGCACTAATGACTGAATCGCGTATATATTTCCATTTAGGTTATCCAATGAAAGCTTCCTACTCATTCTTAGATTTTTTGGTTCAGTAGCTGGTTGGTCCCGAATACAGGAAACTTGTATATATTAGTAATGGACTCGGATAGACGGCTTAACACAACAAATACTCAGATGAGTACATTACTAGTCAATAATTGGACCGTAGACTGCATGGAAGTCATTTACGTGTCAAACATAATTTTTAAAAATATAATACTTTCAAAATTATGATTCAAGTATAAAACAAAAATACTTTCCCATTTACTCATGAATAATCTGTTATATTTCAGCCAGTCAGCTACAATGTGAAACTTCGTTCATACTTACATTAGTTCAAGTTACCGTACCGCATTAGCATAGAGACGCAATTGTCATTTCAAATTCCGTAGTAGTAGAGGTAATAGAAGTATGAGCAGTGATTGGAAAGATTAAGGTTTGAAGATTTTATTCAAGAAGTATAATCCGGTGAAATACGTTTAGAAAGAGGAAGATAGAAGTGATGAGGAATTCGGAAGATTAGAATTTGATAGAACGCAAATATTGGATGCACACGTGCCATTGCAAACGATTTTGAACCATGTCGTTCAAGGTCTCTAACCATCGGTTATTGTTATCACGCTAGCATAAACAAGGTAGTCTAAACCTACCAACATGTCTTAATCCAGTTGTCAGTGACTTCATAGGTTTCTGCCATGGTTTGGTCTGGCCACCTCTAGCTTTCTTCCAACCTACTCCTACACCACAAAACATAGATCATTTATAGCAGTCAGTCTTTGGACATTCCTAACATATGTTCCAACCATCTCATATAATGAAGATTCACTACTTCATCCATCGATATGCGATCCTTAATCCGTACTCTATTCCTGACAACCACAGTGCTTATTCAATTGTCCCAGGATATACGAGAAAAGCTTCGAAGACAGCTATGACCGAACACTAATATCATACGAATATCCATTCCTCTAACTGGCCATGTTTCACAGCCATAAAGTAGGACGGAGCAAACGGATATCTCACCTACGCCATAAGTGACTCAGGTTGGCAAAATACAATCAAGCTTTCTGTATCCATGCTGAGATTTCGTCAGTCACTAGACCATCAAGACTGACGAGACTGTCAAGATAAGTAAAGCGGTCAATACACTCAACTTCTTCACTCCCTACCTGTTATATAGTTAAAAAAAAATCATTGAATTATATTATAACCAAAAAATAATAAAAATTAATTGAACTTACTAAAATAAATAAACATATGAACAGAATAATGATAAATAATACATGACTTAATAAATGACTTTGATTGAATAAATCATTTCTCCACCAATAAGCATGTTTCAAACTCATTATATGAATCCATAAACGAACAATTAGAAATAGGATCAGTACTGTGTTCGATAGAGAATTCATCAATGTTATTAAATAAAACAAGAAAGAAAGAAAATTGAAACAACATGATGATATATTTAAATTACAAAGTTTGTAAAGTGTTTTTGTTCATTGAATAGAAATGGGTTAATTGACAATTGAAATAAGACCGTAGCTGCTACCTTGACGTAGTGGTCGTGGTTTGCCTGTCGTGATGATCCTACCAAGCTATATTGCCTGGAAAATATATTCCTGTAGGTTCTAGCATGCTAGGCAGGTTGATTGGAGAGGGTTTAGACTAAAAGCAACGACTCATGGTCTCAGGGCAAAGATTTACTGCTGGCTGTAGAGAGATGTGACAGCAGTAAGATGTTTCCCTTGGACAACCAGCATCTGCAGTGATGCTGTATTAGGAAAATGTCGACCCTAAAAATGGCACAACTCACCTTACTTCACGGATTTCCGTTTCCGGTGGTAAGTTCTCCTAAACAAAAAAGGAACTAACACTTCAAAAACATCTTATAAGGAGGCTGGGCGTGAACGGCCTCAAGCAGTTGTCCCTTGGGATCACGCCACCAGGTCTCTAAGACCAATGCTAATCAAACTTTCTTCTCAGCCCCCTCAAGAAACACCTTTTCACGGTGTGGGCGGTTGGGAAGTGACATCCGCCGTCATACCTGTAACAGCATACGAGACCAAATTGGTCTCAAACAAATCATGATGGACCTATAAAAAGTGTTTGATATGGTGGAGAAAATTTATAGCTGCACAAACAAAACAGCCAACTCCATCACATTTCAAGTTATGACTCATGAACTAACTCAAAAACTCGCAAAGACAAATCTTTAGATCCATGAGTGGGAATTGCTGTCTAACTTCAATCGATTCTTAGTATTGCACAGTAATCTTTCAATGATTTCCGCAGACAAGTGCTCTAAACTCGATGTAGTTGAATTCCTTTGGTGAGGGCTTCTGATTAAAACTTGAGAGTTTTTCACTTTAATGCGCTTCAACTTATGCACATTTTAAGCTTTTGGTACTTTCATCAGTACACTGGAATTCAAGTAACATTGATGTATGAGGAACACATATTTTACAAAGTCATGCTGTAGTGAACGAGAACACAGGTGGGCCAACCGAATTGTATCTAACGAAAATTACAGAGTTACTCAGTAAAATAGGAAAACCATATCGTAAATCGTTAATTTGCAAAATATCAGTCCATCATATCGAACTGAACTGTTCCTGTTGCAAAACATCAATCCATTGTCACTATTCATGCGTTTCATACAAATTCCATTGTTTTCTAACTCTTCCTTTCTTGATTTTCCCCCCATCTTCCGCTGCCAGACATTACCTTGACACTCACTTCATATACTACTTATAAGTAGCTCACACCACAATACGAGCAAAAATAACTAATTTCATGGTTTAATATTTGTAGAAAACTATTTCATTTCATTTAATATTTTTGATAGAAGACGTTTAGACAACAGCCAATACTTGTTTTAAATTGTTTTTTTTGGATTCTTAGTTCATTGGACATAAAATCCCTATTTATGTATATTTATAACACAACGTTTATTGAGGTGATCACTTTCCAACGAATTTCTTATCAAGATTTGCAATCGTATATATATGTTATGTAGCAAAAGGTTTATTCAAGTCAGAGTTGGATAATAGGTAGCACTGAAGCCGAAGACGTGCGTTATATCCTATTTCGTCCTTTTCTTTAGTCAGATGCACCTGCATCAAAGAGTTTATGTTCAGTTAGAGACTCAAATGCAGTACCTTTTGCTTCGGATGTCATCGCATTGTACATAGGAACATTTCCTACAGGAACAAATGAATTCGCAGATACATATGGATTCACCAAGTAACTTATCATTTAGTTAAGGTAGCACCACAGGGAAGTAAAGAAAGTGATAGTGTTACGCCTGTAAGTAAACACGTCATTTTGATATGCTTGAACTATTACGAGTTTACCTAGTCGGAAAACCAGAGCAAGGATCCGGTGACACGACATGCTACTCAATCCGATTATCCCAACCCCCATTGAATAAAAGAAGAAAGCTTGATATGAAGTAGAACCTGTATTCTACAAGCATCCAGAAAGTACGAAGTCCGAGTCCAGAAGAGAATCAGGATCCCAGACTAGGGATCCGGGTCCTGGTCCTGGTCGTGGTCACAAAAGGTTACAGATAATGCGTATTTATACATTTTGGTCGAATAGGAAACAGCATCGAAGTCTGTGACATTGACAGTTAAGATGACCAATAGGAAGCAACATTTGAAGTGACATTGGTAATCAGGACAACCAATAAAAAACAACATTGGAGCACGTGACATTGATATCTAGGACGACCATAAAATTGACCAGTAGGAATTAACTAAGAAGAATTGACCAATAATTCTCTTAGGATATTGGATGAATATCCTAACAGATAGACAGTAGCTCTGAATTGCATTTTTGAGTTTACCTACCAGTATACATCACATGCTATTTCTACGTTGAATTGAGGCTTTAAGAAGAACTGTTTCCGACTGACCATCGATAACATTTGGTTATATGCGTATATGTATGTTTTTGTGAAAGTCTTGTGCACAACCGATTTCAACCAAACAATTATGAAATAGTTTCGAGTTCTATGTTGATATCCTCATCAGACCATTTCTTCTTATCTCCTACTTGTAATACATTTAAATCGGTTTTTCTTGAGTTCTAGGCTAAATCAGTGAGTGTATGTGTTGCTCTAACTTAAGAGACAATGTTTATAAGATCTTCAATTTTCTCAACCTACATTAAGTCAGATACAGCTGGGGACTAAACTGTTTTGTTCTCAACAAACGAATTAAGTATGGTATCTCATTGATGGCTAGGATAATTTCTGGTTAATCAAACCGAGACAGGAATTTTCTTAGGAGTTTCACACCCCTGTTAACATCTAAGCTATTAAGCACTAAGGGAGCTTTAGGAGAGGTTAGCCACTAGAAATAGATTCGCATGTCATATATCCCTCAAAATTCTGGGATCCATTTACACCATTAGTTTGAGATTAGAATTTTTCAAATACCTTAAATGGAAGATCAGCTTCCACCAAACTGATTTAGGTGTTGGATATTCATATTTTTGTTCTCTCACTTTCACAAACGAAAACACCCGTAGCAGTGCGTTCACATAGACATTACAAGTATATAATTCATATAAAATAATCAGTTAGCTAATTTGTATTTGGCTTGGTTGAAGTATGACTCTGAATTCCTCATACTGACAAAAGGTTACTCCACTGAATAACCAAGGTTTCATAATAATTTTGCATTAGAGTATTATGGTGATCATCGGTTTACGTTGAAATCTTGAATGAATATCATTGTTAGACCACCAACAGAAACATGCAGGCACTGTTTAAACGGCACTTTCTTCCTCGTACGGGACTCATTAGCAGTGCGCATTTACGACTCGTGCAACCCACAGGATTCGAACTTAGGACCTTCGGTTTCGCCAGCGAACGTTCATCCTCTGGATCACTGAGCCAGAATCTAACGGTGTTGATATCTAACTTTATCAAGTTAAGACATTCGAACATCCTCACCCGCTTGTCATAAGGGTTGAACTCCTCTGGTCTTTTCTTCCCACTAGAACTCCGAGAATTTCCTCATGAGGCTAGTCACTAGTGCTCACATTTTTTGATGTTGCATTATAGTATTATAGAGATCGTTGGTCATACACATTGAAATCACAAATGAATCATTTGTAGATACTTACAGCCATTCACCTTCTGAGAACTGTTTACAGTTCCTATAAAGATTAGTCCAGAAAATACAAGTATTTATGAACAGTTGTTTTCGCAGAATACTTCGTATTCGTTTGCTAGACACTATCAGCGACAACTTACTTTGATAGAACAAACCAGATTCCAATGGAGGAAAAAAACAGGAAAAAGCGGTGGAAGTGGATATGACACACACTACGAAAAGCACCTAACTGCATCACAAGACAAGCCCTCACATGGAACCCTCAAGGTGAAAGAAAAACAGGAAGGCCAAGGAACACATTACGCCGAGAAATAGAGAAAGATATGAGAGGAATGAACAAACATTGGACAGAACTGGAAAGGGAAGCCCAGGACAGAGTTGGAAGGAGAAAACTGGTGAGCGGCCAATGCCCGATTGGGGGGTAACAGGCGTAAGTAAGTAAGTAAGTAAGTGCATAAGTAAGTAAGTAAGTGCGTAAGTAAGTAAGTAAATAAGTAAGTATTAAGTGATAAATTTTTATCAAGCTCAATGTCATATCATTTACTTTGAAATATCTTTCAACATCGTTTTTTTTCTCCTCAAATTTCAACCATTTTTACCATGTTAATTTCCTCCCTCTTTTTCGTTCTTTTTCTCTCCTTTAATTCCCCCCTAAATTTTATCTTTTTTTTTATTGCCGACAAATAACACAGCAAGCAAGAAAAAAAATTAATAACTATACATTTCTTTGCACGTATACGACGTTTGCCTCACCATCTAACAGCTCCCTTTATTTTTTTTTGGTTCTTTTTCTCATCTCTCTACTTCGGCAATTTCTATTTTTTTTTCTCCCACTGCTTTTCTTCAAAACCTATCATGATACTACTTTTTTTTACATTGTAGTATATGACAATTGTTACATAGTATTTTATTGTTACTCTCAACACGTTATTATTAATATTATTATCATCAGTACTATAGAAGACACTAGTCTCACTCAGTCTGTTAGTAGTACATTCACAACAGTGTCATATTGTAGTAGTAAAACCTATTAGTAGGCGAGAAAAAAAAACTAATCCACAGTAATAATAATAAACTGTATAAAATCAATAAATCTTGTTTTAACAAAACTTAGTCGTGGTTTTTTTTTCTGTGAAATATTTTGGTAATATCCTCTGTAATTATTATTAATTAATGTCTTGTTTATGACGTAATAAAATATGGAATCAGTTTTGTGTTAACTGATTTTAACAGATGTGAATTTGAGTGACATTGAGCGCATATG